GAGGGAGAGGAAGTGGGAAGAGGGAAGGGAGGAGGGAGGGAGAGGAGGGAGGGAGTGAAAAGAAGAGAGAGAGAAGAGATGAGAGAGAGAGAGTGAGAGAGTGAGAGAGTGAGAGAGAGAGAGAGAGAGTTTTAGAGAGAGAGAAGAGAGAGAGAGAGAGAGAGAGAGAGAATTGAAGATGAGAGAGAGAAAGAAGAAGAAGGAATACAGGAGAGAGGAGAGTGACGAGATAGAGGAGAGAGACAGACAACAGAGAGGACAGAGAAAATGAAAGAAAAAAAAAAGAGAGACACACAGAGAACAGATCTTGGGACACATAAAATAAATCTTTCTCAAGTACTTCCAAGATATATCATCCTATCATAGACTGCAAATCTGATCGCTCTAAGAAAAATAAGACCAAACCAAAACCTAATTCCTCGAGGCTATAATGCAATATATGTGCTTTAAAGCGATACCAAGACAACTACAAGAATAAGACTAACAAGGAAGATGCTAAATACAGGAAAGTGACTCTGGTGATAATGAGAACATAAAAATAGACACAATAACATGAAAAATATGGCAGATAGTAGAGAGAGAGAGAGAGAGAGAGAGAGAGAGAGAGAGAGAGAGAGAGAGAGAGAGTAGAGAGAGAGAGAGAGAGAGAGAAGAGATTGAGAGAGTTTTTTTTTTTCTGCTCTGTGGACAATTAATAACCCGTAATATAACTTCATAAGAGTGGAGCGATATTATCAATTTACTTTTTTGCCTAGAAACGTTTTTTTTTTTAGTAAAAAAAAAAAAAGTTTGAATTGTATAACAAAGTTTTCTTTTTCAGGAAACAAAACAAAACAAAAATTGAATTGCCTACAGGACAAAAGTGTCTCGCAGGGCCTCCATCTCAGGAGGAGTTCGGAGGAGGAAGAGGGAAGGAGAAGGGAGGGAGAATGGAAGGAAGGGAAAGGAAGGGAAGGGAGGGAGATGGAAAGGAGGAAGGAGTGAGAAGGGGAGGGAAGAATGGAGGAGAGGAGGGAGAGGAGGAGGGGGGAGAGAATGGAAGGAAGGGAGGGAGTAGCTTCAAACACAACTTGATACAGAACATAAAGAAAGGGGGAGGAGAAGGGGAGGTGGGGATGAAACTGAAATAAAAACTGTTTACAAAAGAAGAAAAGAAAAGAATAAGTGTATACATGATATTCGTATAATCTAATAAAGATGGTAAGGAAGGAAGAAGGACGGAGAAAGAAAGGTAGGTAGAAATGATAAAAAAAAAGTAAAGAAAACGAGGGAGGAAGCAGAAGAAGAGAGAGAGAGAGGAGGAACGAGAGAGACGAGAAGACAATAAACAACCTCGTTTCTTCGAGCCCAAAGTACGCCCCTGGACACCTTCCTCGGACTCGCACGAACGGGACCATAAAGTACTTAGTGCAGAGGTGGTGTCCGGAGCTCCTGTGGGCCGTGTGAAGGAACCACTCACCGTCGGACGCTTCGGAGGCAAGACAGGACTACGCCTCCGTTCCGTAAGGTCGATTCCGCCGCCCGTAACGAATGCACGGATGACCCCTAACGCGCTGTTGGGGGTTTAGTCGGTAAAAAAAAGAGAAAAAAACATGGCTCAACTGGCCCCATTTGGACTCTCAACCCACGCCGCCCATCCCTTTCCCCTCTCTCCCTTCGCCCATCCCCTTTCCCTCTGCGCCGCCCTCCTTCCCCGCCCCCAAACCGCCCATCCCTCGCTCTCAACAACACGCCCACCCTCGCCCCTCTACACCGGCCGCCCCCCGTCTCATACCGCCCCCCTTCCCCCCGCCTCTCACCCCTTCTCCCTTCCTCCACCCCTTCCCCCCCTCCCCCACGTCCCACCCCCCCCTCCCCGCCCACTTCCTCGTTCAGTCGCCACCCTTCGAGCGCCTTACCCCTCACCCCCCAGCCGCCCACGCCCTCTATCCACTCCGACGCCCTCCTCGGCACCTCCGCCACTCGCTCAGCGTTACAAGTTACGGCGCCGCTCATGTAGCTACACACTTTTTAGCGCCGCGGGGAACGGAAGGAGAAGGGAGGAGAAGGGAGAAGGGAACGAGGGAAGAGTAGAGAGCGAGAAGAGAAGGGAAGGGAAGGGAGAAGGGAAGAGAAGGGAAGGAAAAGGGAGGGAGAAGAGAGCGAGAAGGAGAGAGAGGGGCCCTTGGCATCGCCAAAGGTCATCGCTCCAGCCCGCGGCGGCGGGCGACGGAGGGCATCCGAGGGCGCGGGATGACCTGGTGGCGAAACGCGGCGGTCTGGTCGTTGCATCGGAGGATTTGGGCATTTGGGGCGAAGGGAGTTTCTGCTCTTGTGTGACTGCTTGTGTGTGTGTGGTGTGTGTTCGAGTGACGTGTGTGTACGTGTGTGTGTGTGTTCGAGTGTGTGCGTGTGTGTGCGTGTGTGAGTGTCTTAAAACATCTGTTAGGCTTCATAAGGCAGCTGGAGTGATATACATGTGTATGTATGTAAATATATATATGCATGTGTGTGTATATAACTTAACGTCTCTCCCCCCCCCCATCCCCCCGTCCTTCTATCCCTCCCCCTCTCTCGCTCCTTCTTTCATCCCCTCCCTATCCCGCGACAACAATCAATCGATTAAACCCCATCCCGTCCGATTAAATAAAGGAACAAAAACAAAAACAAAAAATTGCCGATCTCATAGCGCGAAAGCGCGAGAGGTCTGTCCGACACACCTTTCTCCGTCTCTCGCCAGATTAAAGATCACGGTAGAAGGGGGGGTGCGGATCAGAGGGAGGAGGGGGGAGAGGGGGGGAATAGGAGGGGGGTGTCCCACGGATTCAGAAGGGGGGGGTGGAGGGAGTGGGAGGGGGTGTCCACGGAGGGGGGGGTGTAGGAGCGAAGGGGGGTGGAGGGAAGGGTTCCTGGCACTCTCATGTGGCACTGTTATCTGCCAGCGGTCGATGGCTCTGGCAGTGCTTGGGTCTCGGGTTCTGCTTGTTGCGCTTCGTTTTCTGTTTTATTGTTTCATTTACCTTTCGTGTGGCTGTGTTCATTTCTCCTTTTGCGTGTCTGGTTCATCTTTTGCTTCTCTCGTTATGTTTGTATAAAATCGAGAAAGTAAAAAGAGGAAAAAAAGGGAGAAAGGGAATGGAGAATAAATGGAAATATAGCACAAAGACATAAATCGACAGAAGGAGAGGAATAAGAGGAAGAGAGATGAGAGAAAGTGAATAGAAACGAGGATTGATTTGGGTGAAGATATATAGACAGCTAGTCAGCAAGAAAGACAGCGATGAAAAAGAGTGAGAGACGGGAATACACACATCACACACACACAACATACACACACACCACAACACAACACACACATACACACACATACACAACACCCACACACACATACACACACAACGCACACACGACACAGACACAAGACACACACACACACACACACTACACACACACACACACACACACACACACACACAACACAACACACACACACACATACATACTATGAATAATTATATTACTTTATATATATAGTAAGATTAATAGAGAGAGAGAGAGAGAGATGAGAGAGAGGAGAACAGAGAGAGAGAGAAGAGAGAGAGAGAGAGAGAGAGTAAGTAGAGGAGGGAGATGAGAGGAGAGAGAGAGAGAGAAGAAGATGAGAAGAGAGAGAGAGAAGAGAGAGAGAGAGAAGAGAGAGTTTAGAGAGTTAAGATTTAAAGAGAAAAGAGGGGAATTAGATACAGAGGCAACAGAGAAGTAAAAGACAGACAGACAGACACGGGAAAAAAAAAGAACAGAGAACTCACAGTCGAGAGAAAGAAAGCGAAAGAAAAATAAAGAAATGAAAAGAAGTAGCGAAAAAAAGGATCCGAAGCGAATCAGGTGTCGGACAGCTGTAAGAGAAACCCGAAACAGGTGGGTTTTCGTCAGCCTTTTCGGGGAAGCTACGGCGGCGGCTGCGCAGCTAGGTGGCCGTGTGCCAGGCTTTTTCCGAGGGAGAGAGTGTCCGTTGGTTGTGATGAGCCCCGTCCGTTGGGAAGTGTCCGTGGGTGAGTGTCCATGGGTGAGAAGCCGTCCCGTGGGAAGTGTCCCCGTTGGTGAGAGCGTCCGTGGCAGGTTGTCCGTGGGTGAGAGTTCCTGGTGTGAGAAGTGTCCGCGCAGAGAGTTGTCCGTGGGTGATTGAGTGTCCGTGGGTGAAAGAGTGCCGTCGCAGAGAGTGTCCCGTGGGTAGAGTGTCCGTGGGGAGAGTGGTCCGTGAGTGAGTGTCCCGTGGGTGAGTGGTCCGTTGGGTGAGTGGTCGTGGGTGAGAGCGTCCGTGGGTGAGAGCGTCCGTGGGTGAGAGTGTCCGTGGGTGAGAGCGTCCGTGGGTGAGAGCGTCCGTGGGTGAGAGGTCCGTGTGGTGAGAGTGTCCGTGGGGGTTGAGAAGTGTCCGTGGGTAGAGTGTCCCGTGCGAGAGCGTCCGTGGGTGAGAGCGTCCGTGGGTGGAGAGTGTCCGCTGGTGAGGGTGTCCGTGGGTGAGAGTGTCCGTGGGTGAGTGTCCGTGGTGAGAGTGTTCAAGGTGGGCAGAGAGTGTCCGTGGGTGAGAGTGTCCGTGGGGTGGACGTGGTAAGTGGCAAGAGAGTGTCCGTGGGTAAGTGTCGTTGGGTGAGAGGTCCCGTGGGTGAGTGTCCGTGGGTGAGAGTGTCCCGTGGGTGAGAGTGTCCCGTGGTCAGAGAGCGTCCCGTGGTGAGAGCGTCTCGTGGGTGAGAGTGTCCTGGGTGGAGTTTCCGTGGGTTGAGAGTTGTCCCGTGGGTGAGAAGTGTATTAGTTGGCCATAGAGTTGGTCCCGTGGTTGAGAGTGGTCCGTGGGTGAGAGGGTGCCGTGGGTGAGAGTTCCGTTTGGCAGAGAGTGTCCGTGGGTGAGTGTCCGTGGGTGAGAGCGTCCCGTGGTGAGAGTGTCCGTGGGTGAAGAGCGTCCGATGGGTGAGAGCGTCCGTGGGTGAGAGCGTCCGTTTTGGCAGAGAGCGTCCGTGGCAGAGAGTGTCCCGTGGGTGAGAGTGGTCGTGGTGAGGTGTCCGTGGGTGAGAGTGTCCGTGGCAGAAGAGTCCGTGTTTGTGAGAGTGTCCGTGTGTTGAGAGTGTCCGTGGCAAGAGGCGTCCGTGGCCAGAAGATCCGTCCGTGGGTGAGAGTGTCCCTGGCAGCGTCCGTGGCAGAGAGCGGGTCCGTGGCAGAGATTGCTTCCGGTTGGTGAGTGTCCGTGGGTGAGAGTGTCCGTGGCAGAGAAGTGTCCATGGCAGAGAAGCGTCGTGGGTGAGAGTGTCCGTGGGTGGAGAGTGTCCGTGGGTGAGAGTGTACCTGTGGCAGGAGTCGTCCGTGGGTGATGAGTGTCCCGTGGCCGAGAGTGTCCGTGCAGAGTGTCCGTGGTGTGAGAGTGTCCCGTGGGTGAGATGTCCGTGGGTGAGAGTGTCCGTTGGTGAGAGTGTCCGTGGGTGAAGAGTTGTCCCGTGAGAAGAGTAGTCCGTTGGTGAGAGTGTCCATGGTGAGTGTCCGTGGTGAGAGTGTCCCGTGGGTGAGCACGTGTCCGTGGGTGAGAGCGTCCCGTCGGGATGAAGAGCGTCCGTAGGCAGAGAGTGTCCGTGGGTGAGAGTGTTTCGTGTGAGAGTGTTCCGTGGCAGAGTGTTTCCTTGGGTGAGTGTCCCGTGGCAGAGAGTGTCCGTTGGGTGAGTGTCCGTTGGAGTGAGACAGCGGTCCGTGGTGAGAGCGAATCCGTCGGCAGAGAGTGTCCATGGGTTGGAGAGTGTCGTGGGAGAGAGTATCCGTGGTGAGTATCCGTGGGTAGAGTGTCCGTGGGTGAGAGTGTCCGTGGGTGAGAGTGTCCCGTGCAGAGAAGTGGTCCGTGGGTGAGTAGTCCGTGGGTGAGGAGTGTCCGTGGGTTGAAGAGGGCCCGTGGGTGAGAAAAGGTCCGTGGCAAGAGAGTGTCCGTGGCAGAGAGTGGTTGTGGGTGAGAGCGTCCGTGGCAGACGAAGTTGTCCGTGGGTGAAGAGTGTCCCGTGGGAGAGAAGTTTCTGTGGTGTGTCCGTGGGTGAGAGTGTCCGGTGGTGAGGAGTGTCTGTGGGTGAGAGCGTTCGTGGCAGAGAAGTGCGCCGTGGGTGGAGCGTCCGTGGCATGAAGAAGTGTCCGTGGGAGAGAGTTTCTGTGGGTGAGTGTCCTGGGTGAGAGTGTCCGTGGGTGAGAGTGTCCGTGGGTGAGAGTGTCTGTGGGTGGAAAGCGTCCCCGTGGCCAGAGAGGTGTCCGTGGGTGAGTGTCCGTGGGTGAGAAGTGTCCGTGGCGTGAGAAAGTGCCCGCTGGGTGATGAAAGTCCGATGGCAGGAGAGTGTCCGTGGGTGAGTGTCCGTGGGCTGAGAGTGTCCCGTGAGGTGAGAAGTGGTCCGTGGGTGAGAGTGCCCGTTGGGTGAGAAAGAGTCCCGTGGCAAGAGAGGTCCATGGGTGAGAGTGGTCCCGTGGCAGTAGATTGTCTGTGGGTGAGATACGTCCGTGGCAGAGAGTGTCCGTGGGTGAGAGCGGTCCGTGGGTGAGAGTGTCCCGTGGGTGTAGAGCGGTCCCGTGGGTGAGAGGTGTCCGTGGCAAGGAGAGTGTCCGTGGGTGAGAGTGGTCCTGCGTGGCAAGAGTGTCCGTGGGTGAGAGCGTCCGTGGGTCAGAGCGTCCGTGGGTGAAGAGTGTCCGTTTGTGGAGAGTGGTCCGTGGCAAGAGTGTCTGTGGGTGAGATCGTCCCGTGGGATGAGTGTCCCGTGCAGAGAGTGTTCCTGTGGGTGAGATCGTCCGGGCAGAGAAGTGTCCCGTGGGTGAGAGCGTCCGTGGTGAAAGTGTCCGTGGCAAAGAAGTGTCCGTGGGGTGAGAGTGTTCCTTGGCTAGAGAGTGTCCGTGGGTGAAGTGTTCGTGGCAGACGAGTGTCTGTGGTGAGAAAGTCCGTGGGCAGAGAGTGTCCGTGGGTTGAGGTGTCCGTGGCAGAGAGTGTCTGTGGGTTTTGAGATTCGTCGTGGCGAGAGTGTCCGTGGATGACGCAGCGTCCGTGGGTGAAGTGTCCGTGGCAGAGAGTGTCTGTGGGTGAGAAAAGTCCTGGCAAGAGAGTGTCCAGTTGGGTGAGAGTGTCCGTGGCAGAGAGTGGTTCTGTGGGTGAGATCGTCCGTGGCAGCAGAGTGTCCGTGGGTGAGAGCGTCCGTGGCGTGAAGAGTGTCCGTAGGGTGAGAGTGTCGTGGGTGAGAGTGTCCGTGCAGAAAGGTCCGTGGGTGGAGAGCCGTCCGTAGGGTGAGAGTGTCCCGTGGCAGAGAGTGTCCGTGGGTTGAGAGTGTCCGTAGGCAGAGAGTGTTCCCGTGGTGAGAGCGGTCCGTGGGTGAGAGTGTCCGTGGGCAGTGGTGTACCGTGGGTAGAAGAGGTCACCGTGGGGTGAGAGTGTCCGTGGCAATGAAGAGTGTCCGTGGGTGAAAGTGTTCCGTGGCAGAAGAGTGTCCGTGGGTGAGTGTCTGTGGCAGAGAGTGTCCGTGGGTGGAGTGTCTGTGGCAGAGATGTCCGTGGGTGGAGGTGTCTGTGGCAGAGAGTTGTTCCGTGGGTGAGTGTCCTGTGGCAGAGATGTCCGTGGGTGAGAGTGTCCCGCTTGGCGAGAGGGAGTGTCCCGTGGCTGAGAAGCGATCCGTGGGTGAGAGTGTTCCGTGGCAGTATAGTGTCCGTGGGTGAGAGCGTCCGTGGGTGGAGAGTGTCCGTGGCAAGAGAGTGTCCGTGGGTGAGAGTGTCCGTGGCAAGAGAGTGTCCGTGGGTGAGAAGCTCCGTGGGTGGAGTGTCCCGTGGCAGTGAGTGTCCTGGTGAGAGTTCGTCCGTGTGGTGAGAGTGTCTCGTGGTTCAGAGAGTGTCGTGGGTGAGTGTCCGTGCAAGGAGTGGTCCGTGCGGTGAGTGTCTGTGGCAGAGAGTGGTCGTGGGTGAGTGTCTGTGGCAGAGAGGGTGTCCGTGGGTGAGTGGTCTGTGGCAAGAGAGTGTCGTGGGTGAGTGCACTGTGGCAGAGAAGTGTCGTGGGTGAGATGTCCGGGAGAGAGGCATGTAGCTTTTTTTCGGAATCGGGGGTCCATGTGTAATTAAACGTACAGACGGGGGGGCGGGGTTGGTGTGGGTGTTTGTTTATGCTGTGATGTAAATTGCACGTACAGACGGGTGCGTGTGTTTTGTCTGTGGTGTAATTGCACGTATACTAGACGGGTGTGGTTTTGTGTGTTTAGTTGTGTTTGTGTGTGTGTAATTACACGTAACAGACGGGTGGCCTGTGTTTTTTGTGAGGTGTGTGTGTAATTGCAGAACGTCAACATATCTTTTCGTTCGTTCTATTATAATATAGAGAATACTAGAATCACTCACAGAGCGCATACCGACGCCAAGGCAATCAGGGTCACTGACGCAATAAAAAATATCACACTCAAAGAATGACAATTAAAATCAACCTCTTCTAAAGTACTGAAGTGACGTCCCCTGTAAATCTAATCCCCTTTGCGGACAGTAATAAAAGGTACCATGGTAATCAATGGTTAACTATCTATATACCAAAGCAAAGGGGTAACTCATTTTAAAACCATTAAAAAAAAAACTATTATTATCCCCACCCATTATCTACGTCATCAAATTTTTAGGCCAGACACGCCCTCTGGTAAAAAAAAAAAAAAAAATAAAAAAAATAAAAAATTGAAAAAAAAAAAAAATCTAGTTCATAACTGTCCTGAGATATTCGCTTAACCAATCCTAACAACAACACTGACCAATCCCCATCCCACCAATAGCATAGCCTCCTTGGGGCCTCGGTAAGAACCGAAACTCCTATTATAGCGAATAAAAATATAATATACGGGACATTCTAAGAAGCATTAACACTATTTTTCTCGTTGTAAACACCTGTCTTTCAATTTTCAGGACAAGGTGTGCCTCTTAGTGGGTGGAAAGAGGAAAATTAGCAACAAAAGACAAACGGCCTAAATGAAAAATAGTGAGGGGGGGGAAGGAGGGAGGGAGGAGGGAGGGAGGGGGGAGGGAGGGGGCGGGAGGGAGGGAGGAGGGAGGGGGGAGGAGGGAGGGAGGGAGGGCAGGGGCCGGGAGAGAGAGAGAGGAGAGAGAGAAGAGATTGAGAGAGAGAAGAGAAGAGAGAGAGAGAGAGAGAGAGAAGAGAGAGAGAGGGAGGAGAGGGAGAGGAGGGGGAAGGAGGCGCACAGGAGAGAGAGAGAGAGAAGGAGAAGAGAGAGAGAGAGAGAGGAGAGAGAGAGGGAAGGGAGGAGGGAGGGAGCGAGAGAGAGAGAGAGAGAGAGGAGAGAGAGAGGAGAGATGAGAGAGAAGAGAGGAGGGAGAAGAGAGAGAGAGAGAGAGAGAGAGGAGAGAGAGAGAGAGAGAGAGGCAGAGAGAGAGAGGACAGAGGAGAGAGAAGGAGAGAGAGAGAAGAGAGGAGAGAGAGAAAGAGAGAGAGAGAGAACGAGAGAGAGAGAAGAGAGAGAGAGAGAGAGAGAGAGAGAGGAAGAGAGAGAGAAGAGAGAGAGAGAGAGAGAGAAAGAGAGAGAGACAGAGAGAGAGAGAGAGAGAGAGAGAGAGAGAGAGAGAGAGAGAAGAGAGAAGAGAGAGGAACGGAAACGAGAGTAAGAGAGAAGAGGAGAGAGAGAGAGAGAGAGAGTGAGAGAGAGGAGAGGAGAGGAGAGGAGGAAGAGAGAGAGAGAGAGAAGAGAGAGATGAGAACGAGGAAGAGAGAGAGAGAGAGAGCGAGAGAGAGAGAGAAGAGAGAGAGAGAAGAGAGAGGGCGAGATGAAGGAGAGAGAGAGAGAGAGAGAGAGAGAGAGAGATGACGAGAGAGAGCGTTGAGAGAGAGGAGAGAGGAGATGGCGAAAGAGAAGAAGAGAGAGAGAGAGAGAAGAGGAGAGAGAGCGAGGAGAGAGAGAAGCCAGAGAGAGAGAGGAAGAGAGAGAGAGAGAGAGATGGCGAGAGAGAGAGAATAACATAATAAATAGAAGAGAGAGACAGAGGAGAGGAGGGGGGGCCCTGATGAAGGACAAATAATAAATGAGAGAGAGAGAGACAGAAGGAGAAAAAAATAACAATAATAATAATAATAATAATAATAATAACAATAGCATAGTAAAATGATAATAATAATAGATATAATAATATATCAATAACATTAAAATAATCATAATCAAATATACAATATATAAAAACAATATTAACAAATCATAACAGCAAATATATAGGAAATAATACCTAGTACCAAAAATAATAGTAGAGCAGTAGTAGTAATAATAAAATTAATTATAATAAAGATAATATATAAAATAGTAAATAGCCCAACAACATTAATAATAGACAACTACATCAACAAATCAACAATATCTATTATCTAATAACAATGATCCAAAATATATTGGCATATAATGTATGGGAGTGTGTGTGTATGTGTGTGTGTGTGTGTGTGTGTGTGTTGTGTGTGTGGTGTGTGTGTGTGTGTGTGTGTGTGTGTGTGTCGGTGTGTGTGTGTGTGTGTGTGTATGTGGTATGTGTATGTGTAATGTGTATGTGATGTATATGTTATGTTATGGTGTATAATGTATGTATGCGTTACTTTGTTGCATGTGTGCGTGTCGT